TAAAATGACTTATTTGGAAGAGTCTACTCCAAAAAAGGAGAAAAATTCAAGACTGCGTACAGGAATGCACATCGGTTTTATTTCGGGAGTAGCTAAGAGGATCTGAGCCTGGTTAATGAAAACCTGTTCTACCATAGTTTTTAAAAAGGGATTTGCAAAACAAAAATGATCTTGCTATGAGGAACACAGTGAAGGTCATGAGTTCTGATCACTCAGGAACTCTGAGCTGAGCTAAGAAGGAGAGTAGAATTTGGGAGGCACTCAAGGGAAGAGTACTGGACTGTCACATGTTTTAGTTCCGTTGTCACCCTGTCCCTCTGTAGCAGAGGCATCTGCAGGCAGCCCTGTGTGTTTCCCATGTGAGATCATTCTGGGAAGATGGTGTTGAGGACCTGAATGAGTGCCTTCCGACAAGCAAGCATTTTAACAGTGAAAACTCCATTATTTGTTCAACGTTTTCACCATTTGTGTTGTATCCCTTCCCTGCCAGATTTAAATCTGGCTTCTTTGTATTCACAGAGAATTAATACCTGTTATGTTGTTGTTTTAAATTCTGCATTGTGACCTGTAAAATCAATGTTATGTTCTTTGAACTGCCTGTGAACAAATCACTATTGCAAATAGATGTGTCTGAGCTCGTTCTTCTCCTCTCTTTGCTAGATGACAATCAGAATTATGATGGGAGAAAACTTGAAGGTAAGGAAACTTGGAAGGCCACGGGGGTCATGCCAGCTGATGACCCATCTGCTTTTCCTAACACTAATGGTCTGTGGCGGCGATGGCAAACCTTTTAGAGCTTTCAGTGATAAGAAACAGCCTGCTGTGGCACATGTGCCATAGGTTCACCACCACTGGCCTATGGTGTCCCCAGGGCAAAAGACATTCAGAGTCTCTTGGCAGCTGATAAACCACTGTTTGCTCGCTGTTGTCTTCAGTCCCTCGTGGAGCTGGGTAAAACATCCACATGAGCTCACCCTTAGCATCTCTTTCAGGGGTCCACAGAAGCTCCACGAACGAGCTGCATGCCTGAGTGAGGACCACTCCTCTAAACCATGGAATCCGGAAGCTCTATTCTAGCACCTTGTTGTCATATTTCCTGATTATGCTACCATGGACTAAAGGAAGCACTATACATACAGTCAGCCCTCTCTGTCCCTGGGATCCTGTTACACAATTCATCCAACTGTAGATTGAAAATATTTGGAAAAAAGAATACATAGAGATTATTTTTCTTTTCATTACTGCTTGAATACCATTTCTCATGGTGGCTGGAAAGCAAGCAGAGCAATAGAAAAGATCCAGGATCCCAATACCCACTTTAAGGCAGTACCCTCAATGACCCAGTTTCTCTTCACCAGGCTCCACATCCCAAGAGTGCCACACAAGCTAGGGACCAGTCTTTTAACACTTGGCCCCATAGGCGGACATTCAAGATTCAAAGCATAACAGTGTGTAAATTGGAATTTTGATAGACTTTGTCAAAAAGCTACTAAGCAAAAGGTATTTCCAAAGTTTATGATAAACAATAGGAAGTAATCAAGTGGATAGCAACATTTATCTTACAGGAATTAGATCACTCATGGCAGCAAAAGCCAAAGTCTTTTCTTTATTGAACGAATGAGTGAATAGTCACCAAATGTGAGCGAAATGCCCCATACAGAGTGATGAACCTACCACACAGTCCCTGCGCTGCAGACTCAGAGTTCCTGTGCTTAAAGCACTGGCTAACATCTTCCCAACTAGCCTCAGAGAGCTTTCCTGGCATTTATTGGTCTCCAGAGATGTAACATGCTTCATAGGCTCCAGGACAGGAGGAACCTACCCACCCCATTCAAACTGGTGTTTTTGTATCTGTGACCATGGGAATAGCTAATCTCCAATTCCCTGCTAAAATAAAGCTGAGCATTGCCTCAGATCTCTGCAACCCTTAGCTGATGTCATTTATTCTTTCTGACTTCTAGATTGCCCTCTGGCTCTGAGAAGGGCTCTGTTCAGGAGCTGCCTTCCGTCCAGACAGATTAACTTATGGTCCTACAAGGTTAAGCATGACACATGTGTTTGGGGAAAATGGAGATTCACGTTAAGAAGAAACATCACTTTCTGATCCAGGCAGGAGAGCATACATAATCTCTTTGAGAGCCTGTGAAAGACTTCATTTTACACATGAAATTGTGTGGAATTGCCCTGGACCGCAGTGAACACATTTTCTGTGAATAGCAGGCCTCAGAACAAGCTACTGAGCACCAGTTATGGCCTCAAAGCAATAAGGAAGAAATGTAAGCAGATGCAATCTGTGTAAAGTTGCAGAGAACAAACGCACATATTTGTTGATACAGTGTCCATATGGAATGGGTCAAACACAGGCCTGGCCCACATGCAAGAAACAGGACACAAGGGGCTGGGGATTTAGCTCAGTGGCACAGAGCCTGTCTGGCAAGTGCAAGGTTATGAGTTCGGTTCCCGGTACCAGAAAAAAACCCAAAAAACAAAAAAAACCAAGAAACAGGGCACAGAGAGGCTTCTCATGGCATAGAAGTTTCTAAAAGTTAAGATATAAGCATATTTTAATTGTCCAAGAATTTTTCTATTTTCCTGTGCATTGTAAAACTTGTCATAGTCTGATATAAACGCCCGTGCCTGACAACTAAGAAAAAGCAAACAAATTTTTTAAGTAGTGATTTTTTCTCAGCTATCTGTGAATTAATCTAAGCTTCATATTTGACTAAATGCATCATTTTGAGACCCAGCAAGCTTTTAGAAGTACATATAACTGGTTTCCTATCATTTCAGTGTCTATCATACCTCCGAGTTTAAATTAACTCTTTCAAGTTTTACACTAGTGACACAATGTGGTGCTTGCACATGTATGTTTGATTTATTTCACTGAAGAGTAAAGGGCTTCTGGGATGTGGGAAAAGAGAAGGGAACGAAGGAGAAATTTTGTATGTATGTATATACAGGATAGATAACATGGTTGTTCTTCTGTCTTCTATTTCTGTGCTGAAAGAAACTGTCAATGAGTCTTTGGTTGACCAGTATTGCATGTCTATATCTGTTTTCATGAGAAGCCACTTTGAAGATATCAATATGTAATACAACCACCATTGTTAATTCCCTACCACTTTGTTTGTAACTCTGTATTGTCTGTATTGTGCTTGTGATATGTTGTAAAATGTTGTATGTCTGTTAATGTTTCCCTCCTTTTATCTTTAAAATAAAAAAAAAAAAGAAGTACATATAACTGTGAGAATTTCAAGGCAAATAGGACTTGAGTATATAAGAAGAGAGACCATGAGACTTACCCTGCATAAGGCACTTTCTGGTTTAAAATGTCCTGCTTTCCAGGCATAATAACTAAATCATGTATAAAAAATTAGAAAAAAAAGGTGTTCTGCACGTTATGGAGAAATTGTTGGCATCCTCTGATAGGTCATCTTAGCCTTGTTATTAAATGACAGCGATCATTAAAATGCCAAACATATTTTGACAGAATTCACTTTATAAAATGTCAGCAAGTCTGTGTTTTTATTAGTTTGTTCCAAATCAATTTAGAAATTTCAATAGAATGCTTGTAAGTATTCCCCAAGCAATGTCCATTCCTGACTTTCTGCACAAAAAAATATTACAAATTAATCAGATTTTCAGATTTCTGCATAATGGCTTTGCACGTCTATTGCTTAATCCTATTATAAAATGCTGTTATGATTGACACATCACTGTGCAGATAGAAGTCAATTGAATAATATGTAGCAGTCAATTTTATTTGTAGCTTAATGTGCTGAAGTATTTCTCCACATTTCCATTATTTATAAGTCTGTCCCTTTGGAGAATATATAGAAGAATTTGTTTTAAATGAGCCAATAATACCTTCTTTAAAATTTATAAATGTGACAGGATTATATCTTTTTTTTTTTTTTTTTCGTGGTCGTCCATGGCATGCCAATAAACAGGGCTTGAACTGTCTTCTACTTGCTAGTCATAGTACAAACATCAGGAAAGAGGATCTTGTTAAGGGTTGCTTGGAATTGGATTTCAACCACTTCCTTAGAAATTTTCAAGAAAACAAAAGCTACCAACAAGGACCCCTCAAAAATGGCTGCTACTTTTGTGTGTTTATTCATGTATTTCTTCTTTCTGCCATTATCTTACCTGCTGTGATTTGTCCTGGAACAAGGCACATAAGCTATACGGAGATACTCTACTGTTCAAAGGGCTTTATAGATATGCTGTTTAGGTGGGATGTTCTTTTTTCTGCTTTGGTGTCCAACAGAATTCCACCAGAGGAAGTGAGATGTGTTCTTCAATACTTAGCAGGGTGCTGCTTTGGTGTCCAACAGAATTCCACCAGAGGAAGTGAGATGTGTTCTTCAATACTTAGCAGGGTGGAGGTCTCTAAAGTTACTGTGAAATTCCTTACTTTTCAGCACCCAAGAAACTTGTGTAAGGTGGTCCATACTCATTTTGGACATAGTAGAAGGTGACATTGAAAAAAGTTTTGGTCTTAGGAGAAGGCATTGCTAAGATTCAGAGTCTGAAGCAAGCATGGAGGAAGAGCTTAGATGTACAAAGGAGATGTAGGAAACCATATTTGGGATGATGTGGATGGACTTGGCCCTGTCTGAGATCATACATGTTTGGTTTTGGAAAATTAAGTTAGCTGTTGCTTTTCTGTGCATAAAGGATACAACTGCCCCCTACATAGGATACATTACTGTATGCTACGTAAATTGGTGTCTAATGCAATCCTTTTGGTACAACTGAATGTTACTTTCCTTGGTTGGTATTCCTTGCTCTCTATCTCCTGGTGAGTTTAGCTATTGTGAATGTCCCTTAGCATTATATATGCAGTCAATAAGTGATTTCAGCACTACAGCTATTGATAAACCACTCTGTTATATCATCTGTCCATTAATTCTCTGTGACATCACAAGAAAACAAGGTGGTGTGAAGTTACCAGGCTGAGTCCTACATTAAGAGAGCACTTTTCTTTTGAATTCCAGGGGCCAGAGGCAACGCAACACTGTCAGATCCAGGCTCTCCTGAGCAACACCCAGCCAGTCAGACCCACCCTCCATTTCCGGTTGGGCCGCAGGTCAGTATCTCTCAACTGCCTTCCATCAGGCTACATTTAAAATGATTTAACCATATAAATAACCAAATAAATAATAATGAGTTAAATCCAATTAACTCCAACAGAGCAAAGATAGTGATAAATTTTTGTATGGGAAACCGTATGACTACATCATTTATTAAATACTATGGGAAAAAATATGTGTTTGCAAAACTCTTCTGTCTTCGTAAAGAAAACATTTATTTTCATCATTTGGAAAAAAAAGTGTTTTCCTTAAAACTCACTACATCTGTGCTGTTGGTTACCATGCAGTTTTTTGAAAAGTGAAACTGTAATGACTGGCGTGTGTGGAAAATTAAGTTATTTCAACCTTACTATCGCCATTTTTGAAATACAAGATGTGATTTAATATAAAAAAGTTAATGCAATTTTAATGCAAGTTTGGCTTATTGGGTTTGACAATACTGTACATCACACAGAGCTCGTGCATTAATAAAGAAATACATTCATTATTTTTTAAAGTCCAATATTTGTTTTTTGCAGGCTTGTGTGTATCATATGGAGATGTAAAGCACAATTATAGAAGGCTGGGCTTGTTAAAACCTGTGTCATATAGTGTGCAGCTTTCAGAGTTCATCTTGCTTTTATGGAAAGAGATGTTGGGCCTTTCTATCCCCTTTGCTGTCATTGTTATTCTTGGAAATTAATCGCTTTCAACACATAAAGGGCTTGCCCACGAGTAGAGATTGGGTTGGTCTGGTATTCTTTTCCAGTTGTCACCCAGTCCCTTTGTGGCCTCTGATACTATCATCCCTCCCAGGCACCACTCTGTACCTAAAAGATGTTTAGAGAGAGTTTTCTGGAAGTCTCAGTAGCGGGCTTCTGTGTGTCACCCCTTTATGTCATCCTCCTTACAACACGTGCGCATGTGTGTATGTGTGTACACAGATGTGTCTGTGACCGTATTAGTCCTAACATGCTCTTACCCTTTCAGGTTAAGTAAGTGATCTGACAGTCCTAAGCAAGTGAGGAACAGTGGCAGTATGACAAACTAAGGAGGCATGCTTTGCTCTAAGCCCATAAATCTAATTTTAAAACTTCTGCAGGCCAGGCCCTCAAACCTGGGATAATCTTGGGATGACCCCTTTGCCTTCCCTTTTAGTGTAATATTTATGATTAGTTGACAGTGCACCAAGAATTTTGAGGTCTGTTTATTAATTTTGTTTTTATTTTCAGAGTCTGTTTATCTTGCTCTTTAGAGTAACTTTGTATTTTTTTAAAGGAAGCACAGCTACTTGATGTGAATTTAGCAAATTGTGCAAATATATTAAGAGTAAGGCCCGTGGAGTCTAGGGCAGTGGTCCTAAAACAGGGAGCCCTCGAGTCTCTCCAGAATTTCTCCTGAAGGAGTCTGTGGGAAAGAGACACTAGAGAGATGACCAGAGTGGGCTCAACCCGTTCTACCTGCCCCCCATTCTTCCCAATGAAGCAGCTCCTGCTCTCTAAATCAGCTCCTTGTATTGGAAAGAGGGGTAAAAATGGATTCTGGTGCTGCCTGCCTGGATCTGACCCCCACATATACACTAGAAAAGGAACTTGGGCAAGTTACAGATCTCCCCACAACGCATTGGTAGGATAAGTACAGCATTCATACAGTGCCTAAATATTATATACTGGGCTTTATTCCATATTTATATTTAATTACCTTCTCCTTATGGAATCATACCATACCTAAAAAAAAGTTGAACTCCCCTAGATAAGAATTTGGATTGGGCCCTATAGAAGACAGTTGGATATGGGATTATGTGTCCTACAGCAGGTCCCATAAGGGTGCAGTGACATCCTGGGTCAAGTGACACTTGCAGCCATCTATCCTGGCCTTCACGCAGTCCACAAAGGGACTGAGTGACAACTGGAAAAGATGTCCTTGCAGCCATCTGTCCTGGCCAGGTGACAGTTTACTCTGTCACCATGGTGAAGACCCTGTAACTGCATGCAAACACGTCCACTGTCCAGTGGCTGTAATTTTCTGTGACATCCACTCAGGCAATAGCTATTGATCCAGAGTAGACATAAAAATATGTGCTTATAATATCATTTTAATTGGGCAAAAATGTTGGTGTAAAAAAAGTGTTAAAAATTTTTAAATTGTAAAAATATAAACATCTTTACTTTTATATTTCATTATAGATCTTGGCATTGTCCATATCTAATTTTACCACATTAATAGTAACCATTTGTTTGCTTAATAAATATTCAGCTTATTTTTTATGTATTCTTATATTTATAAACATTTTTCTCTTTTCCTAAAGAGGTGTCATAATAATCTGCTTTAATTACTATATAATAGTTCATCAAGTTCAGCCCTGTAGGGAGCTGTTTTTCAACATGCCTTTTAAAATGTAGTACGCATTTCCAAGCATTATTTTTTCTTTTGAATTCTGTCTTTAAACTATATCCCAGGGTATTGCTGAGTCAAAAGGAGATGAATATTTCTTTTTCAATACTGGCTATTGAACCAAGGGTCTTTGCACTGAGCAAGGAATTTGAGAAAGATCCCCTAATTCTTTCTTTCTGTCAATCTGTCTATCTATCATCTATCTATCTATCTATCTATCTATCTATCTATCTATCTATCTATCTTTTATTTAGAGACAAGTCTCCCTAAGTTGCTAAATTGTCCGGGTTAGGGTGTGTTTAAATTTGCAGTCCTCCTGCCTCAGCCTCTAAGGCATGTTCCACTAAAGTTGGCTGGGGATGGGTACATGTAGCTCTTCATATATATATTTCCAAATTGCTTTTTCAAAATATTGTGCCAGTGTATACATCTTCTGGCCATAGATCTGCATAATGGTGTCACTACAGACTTTCTAACATCAAGTAAATCTTTGACATTATTCTCATTTATCTAAAGAGTTGAAAATAGTGCTTCCTTGCTATTTTTGAACCAATAAATAAATAAAATCCCACTGATCTCAATGCATTCTTTCTGGAGCAAGAGAATACATTAGCTGACAACTTCACACTCATGAGGGTTAGGATTATATGAAAATTCACTGGAAAGATAACATGCTTCAGGTATTGCTTTTAAAGATATTTGAGCTCCTCTATAGAGTCTAAACTGGGCTGGGGATTTAGCTCAGTGACACAGTGCCTGCCTGGCAAGCGTGAGGTCATGGGTTCAATTCCCAGTACCGGAAAAACAACAACAAAAAAATATATAGATCTAAACCAAATGAAATTTTCCAAAGAAATAATTGAAATGTGATTGCAAAGACTTTTTGCATCAGGTTGTCTCTTTTTAGGGGATAATGCATGTTTCTTTGCTCCTTCTGCAGGAACTTTCCATCTGCACTAAAAAGGAAAGAACATGCTTTAAATATGCGCAGGTCCTGGTCCCACAGGAAAGTGAGAGATGTTTCTCTTGTGTTGTTGCAGCCACTTCTGACGGCCCAGCAGCTAGCCTCTGCTGTGGCTGGTGTGATGCCTGGAGGCCCCCCAGCCCTCAACCAGCCCATCCTTATACCCTTCAACATGGCCGGACAGCTCGGGGGCCAGCAGGGACTGGTCCTCACACTGCCCACGGCAAATCTTACCAACATCCAAGGACTGGTAGCAGCAGCTGCAGCTGGAGGCATTATGACTCTGCCATTGCAAAATCTACAAGGTAACCCACCGTGTCGATGTGCGTAGGGCTCTGCCCACTGACCAGAGTGCTCAGAAGTGCACAAGAAAGTTGTCCTGGATGGTGAATGTGGTTCAGAATCGTTTCCACCAGGAAGGATATAAAAGGTTTCTGCAGGAAGTGGCCTCAAGCCATGGGCTTTATGAACCCTTATTTCCTAACACTGACATTGAAGCCTTTCAGGTCTTCTGGATGGTTGTGAGAGCTGTCACTGCATGACACATTAAACACTTACCTGTAGAATTCCTATGCTGTTACTTGAAGAGCTGAGTTATGATCTCACAAGTTCTTCAATTTAGCCATGTGCAAAGAAATGTCAGATGTTATTCGATTGTGTGTGAAGTGGTTGCAACCCCTCAAATATAAGGTATCATTTGGAATCAATAATAAACATGTGTCTCACAATGTGTAGTTTAGGAAAATTACTAGGTAAAATTAAATTATTTGGGTTCATATTTCACAATGAGAAAAGTACTTGTACATATATTGAGCTTTTATAATCCATGGGCATATACCAGGAGTAAGACTCTGATTTTACTCAGGAAGGGTAGTTCTCTTGAAATTATGAAAATTTTGGCTGTGAAGACTTGATAACACTGACTGATAGATTGATTTACAAAATTATTCTGTCAGAGAAAGAATTATTATGGTAGAAAATGGTCTGAATAGGATTAGGATGTCCACTAAAGAGAAAATGAATTGCTTTGGATGAGTTAAACATGCTTCTTTTCTCCATTTATTTGAAAGTCAACAATTTTTTGGTTTTTTGCAGAATAAGGGATTGGCTGGGTAAGTCATGTTAATAACAATTTAGAATAATTTTTCAGTTGGCCAAATATGAGGATTCTATATACAGTATTTTATCACATTGGTCAGAGCATCTGTCCACAGACAACACCGGACCTCGAAAGGCCTAGTGAACTGTGGACTTGAACTTCTTTACACTCTGTGTGTTCTGATCTTCGCCCATTGTTGCCACTTTTCGACTTGCATTTTAATGTTTAAAACAGAGTCTCTTTAAATTGTGCCAAGAAACCTGCCATTCATAAATCATGCATGCCTGGGCTACGCTAATGCACAAACTTTGCTTGTTTCAAACTTGAGAAAGCCTAGGAAGCCAGGAGCTCACGATTAAGCAAATAAAGCAAGAATACACAAGGTGAAAGCAACAAAGTGTAGGGAGAGGCTTTAATGTAGGTAGATGATAAAATCTTAATGAAGAAATGGGCATTATCAAAATGCAACCTTCCATTTGGAACATTTGTGCTTATGGGAATATTGAATATTATAAATAAACATAAGCTTGCAGAACTCTTAGGCAATGAATTAATGCAGCTTGGTTAAGATGGATGCCAAAGTCAGAGTAAAAAAGAAACAGTCTTTTTATAACTTTATGATGGTTTAATATTCTTAGGTTTTTTAGTACCTGTTACTTTAATGGTTCAAAAAAAGTAACAAGTCCCGTGAGAGTCTCTTCTATCAAGATTTTCTCTTTTGTTTTGTGGGGTAGGGTGAATGTCGAAATTAAATATGTGTGAGGGTTTGGAATTTGGTTCTTCTTAGTGCTTTTGGTTTTAGAAATATGAATTCTGAGTTTTGCAGCCTGATAAAGCAGGGACAACAAATCTTTATTCTTTGGTGTTTCTAACACCGTTTCTCTGTCAACATCCTCTTCAGAAGTATATTGAAGATGATGGCCAAGCTCGTGTCTATTACACAAGCTAAAGTGAACATTTCCCCTTTGTCTTCATCTTTGAAGTTTCAGTGCTGTTGGAGGAGAACATCGCCTTGGAGCAAGCTGGCTAGTTAGAGGAAAGTTTCCTAATTTTTCTTATCATTGAGTTCCTCCCACACAACAACTGCATTTCTAATGTTCATGTGAATAAAACCCAATTCTTAAATACTCTTCAGGATACAAGGAAGTTCTACCTTCCAATCTCCTTGGGCTTTTCTGTCTCTTTCATATCTTCACACATGATTTGTTTATACCAGTATCTTACACGCCTGAGAGGTAAATCATCCTGGATTGCTGGACACTGGGAACTTTCCCAAAACACAGAGTGTTTAGTGTTAAAAACCAGAAAGTTCCAGGCAAACCAGAAAGAGTCGATAGTCCTGTGAGAAGTTCTAGGGCAATAAGAATTATATCTTTGATTCTTATTGCCTTTGATCCTGAGAAGTTCTGTATCTCCAAGGTATCCAAGATCAGTGCCCATGCCAGAGATCACTTCCTGATCAGTCCACCAGCAGTTGACCCACTGCTGAACTCATCGCCTTTAGGAACTACTGCAGCCCTTGACAATCCCTGTAGTGTCTATGCTGTGTGCCTCTTCCCAAGTTGTATCACTGAAGGAGGCAGCATTTGAGATAGTGGGTGATGGCTGGCAGAGAAATCATCCACAGGTGTCCTTGTCCCCTTTGAGACTGAGCCAGTCCTAGATGTCCTCAAGTCTCACTCTCTATCATGAGTGATAGTCTTGTAAATGGCCTATTAATTTCTCAGAAAGAATCCTTTCTTACATACGTGTCTATAGTCAACAAAACACAATCACCTTAGCCCAAGTCATTCAGAATTCTTTTCTAAATAACCAGTAAGTCTGTCCATCTATAATAATGGACATACCACTTTCCCCAGGGATTGTGTAAAACAACTTCAGAGAGTATGAGGGTGAGGGATTTAAGTGTAACACACCTAGTCTGAATTCAGTCCTGTTCCTCTTCTCCACGTTTAGTCCTGGATAGTTCCTCTTTCCCCTCATGGGGGAGTGTTTTTATTCAGAAAACAACTTGGCCAATGGGATTGCCTGTGACTGTTCTCTGGTCTTATCCAACCTATCACTTGTCCACCCGTGTAGTTCTAAAGCTGGAAATGTGCTCAAAGAAAAAACGCAAGTTGCTGACATGAGATTCTTAATGGCGTGGAATGCGGGGATATGTTTTCAAATATTTTCCTTTTTACTAATGTAATAAGAGCTTATTAATTTATATGCCCTATCAAGGAACACAGAATAGCTTTCAGAGGCTGCAATTCATATGTGTGTTTTAATGAGCTCTGGGGATGTCCTGTTGCACGGAGAGCAGATCTTCTCTATCAGAGAGCGGGGTTCATCTCCAATCCCCCTTAGCAACATGAACCCAGACCAGGAGCATCAGCATCCTCTAGGAGGTGGGAAATACAGAACCTCAGGCTCCAGGCATACCAGCACATCCATGATGCCCCACTTCTGAATACCAGCACCTTGGGGGATTAGGTTTTACCAGCTAAGTTTTGAGGAAAAACAGACATTCAGCTCATAGATAGCATCTTCAACATGACCAGCAGGCTCTTTTGCCAGATTCAGAGAATCCTGAATAGTTACGAGTAGTACCCTTATTATCTCTTCACCTCTGCTCACCATCCCAGGCCTCAGACAAGGTGAATGACTAAGGGGTAACTTCTTGGGAACGTTATTGTTTCTGTTAGGATATCCCTATTCTCAAGACCCAGAGGACTTTCCTTTCATAAGGAAGAACTGCTGCAGCCCTTCTTGTAAGATTTTATGCAGCAAAAAAGCTTTGCATTGCTGAAAAAGACATAGCACCCAGCAGGAAACCCATCCTCATGGCATGGGGTTTGTTTTCCTTTCCTTCTCAGATCTTCCCTTCGAAGGACATTCACTTTTGTCTCGGCAATCATGGTGTCTGAGTGTAAGGGGAAACATAGGAAAAGAGAGTTAGTAATCGTTCAGGATCCTGGGAACATTCCTGTGGCACAGCCTCACTCTTCCAGAGATTGACATTTGAGTCTTAGAGGACTCAAGGAGCCATTAGGCTGCAGGCTGTGTCAGCTTTTTGTCTCCAGGAGTAGCTGTTCCCCATGGCCCAGACTGACCCATAACCTATGGCCCAGCACATTTCTCTGTTGTACATATTGGCTCTTGGAGAACCCATAGTTTAAGTTCAGTTACGATGCACATTGTCTCCTGTATGAATACATGTGCCTTTTCAACTCACGTAGCCATCAGGAGCTTCCCGTTCCCATTGATGTCTGTCTTGTTCATGCTTATCTTTATCTCCGTGCTTATCTAAAATTCCAACAATCCAAGAGAGACGCTGACTTTTGAGATGAGACATTTTATTTTTGGCTGGACAGAAGGAGGTTGCTGCGGTACAGAACCTGGGCAAGGACCTGTGAGAAGACACTAGGCCTCCCTTATCCAAAGGGGTAAGGAATCTGGCTGGCTCCCTGACCACTGAGAACCGCATGGGCCAGTGAGACTCCTATGGATGTGGGCTGAGAATGAGACACACTCTGAGCTCTGGAGCCGCCAAAGATTGAGGTTAGTTTCTGACCATCTCAAGGGAAATGCTTGGACATTGTGGCTGGGATCCAACCCAAAAATACACTTCTCTGCATGTTCGAGTAAGACTTAGAAATGACTCACTCCTCAAAACCCTGGTTCCTTACAGGAAATAAGTGTTGTGTCCTTCCTTATCTTCCCTCTGAGCACCCCTTTCCCCCTCCAAGTACATTCCACTGTCAGTGACCCTGGGTCCCTTGCACCACGAGCTCACAGGGCTTCCATTCCAGGTGGTTGTTAGCAAGACCACACCTGTGAAATAGGGCTAAAAATGACTGTGAACCTCAAAGAAAGGAAATTCCTAAGGTTGCTCTGTCACAGACTTCCTAAACTCCTTTAAAAATCAGTGTCTTCCATTATACTGACCAGTTTTAGTACAGATACCACATTAAAAATGTGATATTAATTGTCCCAGGAAGGAAACAGAGACTGTTAGTTGATGTGAGAAAATAAATTCCCCTTTATGGAACTCATGCAGATACGTTGGAGCTTTTGCTCTTTTTAAACTTAGGCAGAAAATATGAACGTTACCTCAGCTGCCTCAACTTGGGTGACAGCTGCAGCAGAGGGTTTACAGGGACAGCAGAGGTAATTCTGCCTCTAGGATAGATGATCAGGTTAGTGACTTGTTCACATAAAACA